GCACACTTACAATCCCAGTACTTGGGAGGTGGCCACAGGAGCTCAAGGACAGCCCAGACTCTGGTATGAAGTTAGAGGCCAGCATGGGCTACATGATATTCTCTATCAAGAACAAAACAAATAGAAAAAAGAAATAAAAAGAATTCTGGGGTTAGAGCCATGCATGGTAGACCATTCTTGAATCCTCAAATCCAGAGAGCCAAGGCAGAAAGACCACAAGTTTAAGGCCAGTCTAGACCACATAGCAAAATGCTGTCTCAAGAAGTATAAACTGAATCAGACAAAAACATCCTTTTGGCAAGATTCACCCTTTTCCAGTAGCTTGCTAAAATGGTACACACAAAGGGAAAAAGAGAGGTAGCCAGTGTTTGTTCTCTAGGTCAGATTCGCCATTTTCCAGTAACTTGCTAAAATGACACACACAAAGGGAAAAAGAGAGGTAGCCAGTGTTTGTTCTCTAGGTCTTTAGAAAGCAGAGCTGTCTCTTTGAACACATATGCAAGAGTTTATAAGAAGAGCGACATTGTAGACATAGGGGGAATGAGCTGTTCAAAAGGATGATCACACATGTTACCATAGCTGTGGGGAGCAGAGGAAGTCTTGAGTGAATGTGTAAGGAGTAGATGAAGTCCTGAGTGAATGGTCACTTTTTAACATGTCAAGGACCCAATGCCTCAGATCCATGAAAGCTTAACCAGCCAAATGCTTAACCAGCCAAATGCTTCTAGCTTCTGGTTCTCACGCCTTATATACCTTTCTGCTTTCTAGCATCACTCCCTGGGATTAAAGGCTCGATTTCTGCGATTAAAGGCATGAGTCACCATGCTTGGCTGTATCCATGAAAAATGGATCTCTGTCTCTGGAATGCTAGGATTAAAGGCGTGTGCTACCACTGCCTATCCTCTATGTTTAATATTGTGGCTGTTCTGTCTCTGACCCCAGATAAGTTTATTAGAGTGCACAATATTTTGGGGAACACAATACCACCACACTTTCCCTGTGATGTATATAGTAAACTCACGGAACCCCTCCCCTGTGAGTTATATAATAAACTTATGTAACCTCTTCCCCTGTGTTATATGTAATAAACTGACATACGTTCCAGGTTGATGCATCGTTGGTGCTTGCTCCGTTAGAGTAAGTACAACCCACCCAATCCCAGCTTTTCTGTGCACACGTCTGTCATTTCTTCTCACTGTCTGCTCTTTCTTCATTCCCTGTCCCTGCAGTCAGGTCAGGTCCAGAGCTGCACAGGCTGCAGTACATGGCAATACTGGGACAGTCTGTTTTCACACAGCACCAAGTGAAAGGCAGGGTTCTTGCCAAAACAGTTAATGTATGTATTGAGCATTTTAAGAGCTAATAAGGGTTGGGTGTAGTGGTGCATACCATTAATCCCAGCATGCAGGAGGCAGAGACAGGCATATTTCTGTGTGCTCAAGGCCAGCCTTGTCTACATATTAAGTTCTAGGCTAGCCAAAGCTACATAGTAAAAGAGGCCTGTGAGTCCAGCTCTCAGATCCCTTCCCAGGGTAGCTAAAAGAATGCTTTCACAGCATCAGGGCTTTAGAAAACCTTTTTATCTGTGGGTCTTTAAGAATAAGTTTCTATCTATCTGAGGGAAAAAGACTCATACATGTTCTGAGAGTCATTTTCTTTTATTTTTCTCCCACTCTAATTCTTTTTTACAGCTCTGATTTTTTTT